TTTTGCTACAAATTACACCATCATCTTTTATTTTTGCGGCCGCAATCCCAAACCTTTATATTTAAATGCAGCCATGGTCCAAATCACAAATTCCGACCATAAAACAGTTAGCCAACGTTGAAACAGTAATTTTTACTCAAATGTACAACTTAATTGAGGGGCAAATTTGTCAAAACAAGTTATCCAATAATAAGGGTGTGTTTGAATCTAATTTTGAGGAGAATAGAAATTTTAGAATAGTGATTGATGTGAGAATGTGTGGTGGAAAAGTGATGAAAAGTTTTTGATTTGTGTGTAATATNGTAGGCTGCACATGGACTTTCCACAATGAAAAGGACACGAGCACAGAAGTTTTAGGGTGTGTTTGAATCTAATTTGGAAGAGAATAGAAATTTTAGAATAGTGATTGATGTAAGAATGTGTAGTGAAAAAGTGATGAAAAGTTTTTGATTTGTGTGTAATATTATTTTATTTGAAGAATGTGTGGTTGAAATGAAGAATGAGAATGAAAAATTAATGGGTGCTAAATGGGGGCTAAAAAAAATAAACTATTTGTTTTCTCCAAATACCCCCACCACAAAAACCCAAAAATAATACTCCATCCCTATGTGGTAGGCCACTTGACAATTCTTGTGGTAATGAAAAGCAAAAGAAGAAACTCTCTGGTGCCACGATTGCTAGTATAGTAATTGGCGCTATTCTCGATTTTGTCTTGATTTTATTGCTTATTTTATGTTTGTGTAGAAAATTGGGAAGAAAGGGAGCCGGATCAAATGATAAGACGGAGGTTGAGGGGTATGGGGTCAGGGTTCCTCTCAAGAAAATATTTGAGAGGGAACGAATGCGCCTGCCAGTAGTTTCGTAGCTGTGGTGGGGCCGAAGGAGAAGGAAAAGGGAAAACCAAATGTTATTGGTGGTGGAAAATGGAGTTGGTGTTTTGGGGAAAAAGGATATGAAGTTTGATTTGGACAATTTACTGAAGGTTTCGATCGAGGTGTTGGGTGGGGGATGTTTGGAACTACGTACAAGGCAGTGTTGGAGACGAACTTGGCCGTGGTGGTAAAGAGGCTGAGAGATTTGAGTTTGGGAGAGAAGGATTTAGGTCGGTGATGGTGGTGTTTGGAGT